AGACAGCAGGCTCCCGGGGTTCTGCAGGGCCATGCACTGAGGAAAGGAGTGGGCAGGGGCCCAACCAAAACCAGTATCCCATGTGTGAAGGAAGCTGCTTTGGGGAGGTATAACATTCTACTGATGGCACCTGCAAAGCCAGGACATGGACAGGCATCCCAGGATAGGTCAGGTAGGGGCTGTGCCAGCTCAGGGTCCTGTAGCTATGATATTTTATGAAAAATCTTCTGCTAGGATTTTTTCCTCCTAAGAGCTGAGGACCTCAGGAAAGAAATATAAACAATAACGATCTGGGGCTGTGGAATGCAACAGGTGCATCTTCCATTGGTCCATTTGGATTGTTTTTGATTGATGACCAATCACAGCCACCTGTGCCAAGGCTGTGCGCGGCCACAGGATTTTGTTATGCATTCCCTTCTATTCCTGTTCTTTCAAGCCTTCTGATGAGCTTTTCTCTCTGTTCTTTTAGTATAGTTTTAATGTAGTAGTTTAGTATAAAATATAAGACAATAAATCATCCTCCTGAAATAGAGTCAAGCCTCGTGTCTCCACACATAGGGTGTTGGCCACAACAGGGTCCCACAGGCAGCAGTGATGCCTCCTCCAGTGCACCATGGGTGCAGCACCTGGCAGGATGATGGGACTATGAAAACGACAGAATACCAGACAACACCACCAGGTGGGCCACCTTATCCCCTCCACCATGCCAGTGGCTTCATTTCACTGGATGTACCACAGTTTGACTTTTTCTTCCCTTTTTGTATGGCTCCTTTTGAGGTCACTTCTCTCTTCCCAGATGCCTGATTGGCAAATGTGGTTTCTCAGGATTTGCTTTTCCTTGGAAGCTGTGCAGGCTGAGAACTGTAAAAAGGGGAAGTCCAAGCCCTTTGTTTAATGGGATAGAAGGAGAGACTCCAGGCTCCACCAAATACTCCATCAGTTCTCTAGGAAAGAGAACTGTGATGACTGGGGTCAGCACATGGGGTGTGGTGTAACACTTGAATGGGAGCAATGCAGAGAGGCTTGAGCAGCAAAGGAGGTGCAGGGTGAAAGGTTTGTCAAGGAGATAGAGAGCTGCTCGGGCAGCTGGAGAGACCACTGGCACAAAATGCCACCCATGATGGAGAGCAGGTGGTGGGAATAAAGGGGGTATAAAGCATGAGGGCAGAAAGAGCACATCAGGAGCTCTGATCATGGTGCAGAGAGTCTTTAGGCAGCAGGTTTTGGGGGGAAGCTAGTCTGACATGAGATACTGCCCCAAATCTTAAAATTCCCACCTCCCGGGCTTAGCCACATTCCCTGTCCAAGAACCAAGGTGGGATGTGCTGAAGATGGTTCTGGGGATGGGAACAGGAATGGCTGGGCCAGATGTGGAACTGCTTGGATGCCAGAGCTGGAAACCCCATTTCTGAGCACATCTTCCTCAAATCAAAATGCAGCATTCCCCCTCATTCCCCCTCCCCTCCCAGCCCTACTCCACTCTGCTCCCAGCTGTGAACTGCTTATGTCCAATTTTATGTGCTAAAAATAACTTTCTAGGCAGTCAGCAAATGCACAGCCAAATGGGAGATGTTGGCAGTCTGAGCAGGAAGAGGATTTGGGGTGTATTTAGGGTTGGTGAGGGCTGCAGCCAGGAGGGCTTGGAGGCCTGGGCAGTGGGCTTGTAGATTTCCAGAGGGATTTTAAACATGGTGCCAGTGCCAGGGCAGAGTCTTGCCAAGCTTGACTGTGTGCTTCTAGGGAGAAGGCATGTGCAAGTGGGCTCAGAAAGGTGGGGAGATGCTCCCTGTGGAAAGCAGTCAGCAGATCCTGCTTCCTCCCCTGGGAAAACGTAATGTAGCAGTCAGAGCAAAGGGATTATCCAACCCTCATGGCCCACCCTTGCTCTGGCCAGCACCCAGGAATGCTCTCCTGGGAACCCTGTAACATGCTGGTCTCTCCCCTGTCACAGCTCTGCTCTCAGCACACCTATCTTGGGTCAGACCTGCCAGCTCCTCAAGCCACCACAGGAGCAGAGATGGTAGCCGTGTGCTGGCCTTTGTGCCTTGGGTGACCATTGCACAAGAGGGAGTCCCTGCCACTGTCACCAGCTGGGTGACAACAAACGTTCTCCCATGCCACCCCTCTCTCAGGCCAGCAAAGCTCCCTGCAGACCTCCCAGATATTTTACAGGGCCCAAGGCAGACCATGATAACTGATCATGACCAGGCTGTCACCCGTCAGGATCAGGGCTGATCCCTCTGCCCCCCAGCACTGCTGGGGCTCCCCTTACCCTCCTCCTGCCCATAGGCCTGGGGTTCAACTCCCAGCTCTGTAGAGGGGCTGTAGGGGTTTAAGATGTCTGTGTTCTATCCTCATTTTGGGAAAGGGGCTGGACAGTTCCTAATTTCAGGGTGGCATGGAGTGTGGGCCGTTGTTTTGTTGAAGGCACTGCAAGATCCCAGTGAAGGAGGTTTGGGTCTGGTGGGGTTGGGAAAGTTGCTAGAGGGGTGATTAAGAACCCACAGCGAGGTTCAGTACTGGGTTCTGGCTGGATCCTGTAGGCATTTTCCAGTTCTCCCTGCCAGAATATGCTCTAGGTTCTGGCAGCACAGGCTGCAGCCCTGACTGAGGCAGACTCTACATGCTGGAGAGGGACCAGCATGTGGGGACCCAGACCACCAGGTCACACAGCGTCATGTGCTTGTGCTGTGCAGGGAACAGACCCCTTCCTGGTTTTCCCAGGGATGGATCTGACTGGGCTACCTTCCTCAGGCCTGAGTCTGACCCTGCAGCTTTGGGTTGACATCCCAGCCTGGCTGCAGCCCACCCATCACCTGCCCATCATCTGACACCACCACCTACAGGTACAACCCACAATGGGCTCCCTTGGGGCAGGTGTGAGCTAGGGAGGAGAGTAAGATCCTAAAACCCTAACAACTGCTTTGGTTTGTGAGTTCTGACACAGTAATAGACTTTACTAAAGGGGAACATGGTGGCTGTGTTAGCAGTGCTTTCCACGAAGCCTGATTCTCAAAAGCCACAGCTACTTCTCCTTTTCCTTGTGGTTTTGTGGATGGTTTTGAGCCCACAGTGCTCTTCTCTACCAGAAGTAAATCTGATCATAAATTTCAGGTGGTTTGGGTTTTTCTCTCTTCAGTCTGAAAGTTTGAGTCCTAATAGTTCTTTGACAACTGAATGGACCTTCAGGAAACAGCCCATCAATCACATTTACAATGATATTGAATTCAATGCATATAGCTGAGTGTGCTGGTATTCAGAATTTCTTCAGCATATTTCTAATGGATGCTATACACCAAGAAAAGAACAAATCTCTAAACATTTCTATGGAGGGAGAGGCCAAACACAGATTTCCAGACCTCAGGACAGGGGAAAAGAAATAATCTCATCAGGAGTAATAGGAAGCCTGTTGTACCACTTGTGAATTTTTGAAGCTTGGCTGTTTAATTCCATTGGTTTTGCTCCTTTCACATACCAAAGAGAGTCAGTGAGAGTGCCAGTGTCTAACTCTGGAATTTTATCAGGACAAGACCCAGTTAGTACTGGCTGTGGCCATTCTCCTGCACAGGAACAAGAAAAACCTGGTTACAAAAGGACAGGGATCTACCAAGGAAACAAGAAGGATGTAACTCAGTGCTGCTGTTCCTCTTGCTGAAATCTTTCTAGAAGACTTCACTCATTAACCTCACAACAGCTGCATGTGACACAGCTGGACTTGATGTAATGATGCTCCCAAATGGACCTTAGGAGACATCTAGTTTACAGAAAGCCCTCAGTGTTGTTGGTTTACTGGGATAATACAGATAGATATACCAAGGACTGTCCTGAGGATGGTGGTTCCTGGGAAAGGATCTGCCAGGGAACTCGGGGCCAGTGAGTTCCAGATGAGTGGTGAAAACCACCCTGGGTGACAGCACCCATTCCCAGAACGCTGAGTGCAGGGCAGTTGTGCTGGTCTGTCTAGCAAAACACACAGAGAGAGAGACTCTGTAAAGCACAGAATTGAAAGAGGAATGGCCCAGGAGAGCTGCAACAGCACAGGGATCAGGACTCATGGAAGCTTGAAGTTGTGCAAGAGTTTGTGAGCTGAAAAGGGGCTCAGAGAAGAGTTTGATGGTGACATCTGCAGGAACAGGAGACTGGGGGAGTTTGAGTGTGCCCCAAATGAAAGCACTCTCTCCCATACCCTAAGATCCTACCTGAGATCAACAGTAACAGGAAGAAGACACCTCCATCCATCTCCAAGGAGAACCTTTTATCCCCATACTGTCCATGCTGTCCTTGTTGAGTGCTTCCCTTCCTAAAAGGCACTGACAAAGAGCAGCTCAGTGCGGCAAAGGTTTGGAGGAGAAAGGAAAAGAGAGCACTTCCAGGTTCAGGAGCTTGTCTGATCTGGAAACTCTACTCATGGGATTCAACAGCAAGAATGTTGCAGCTGGATCAGTTCAAGGTAATAAGAAGAGAGATTTTTGGAAGTATTTAAAAATTAGGTAGATATGGTACTTAGGAACATGTTTTAGTGGTGGGCTTATTGTGCTGGCTTAGTGGTTAGACTTGATCATCATAGAAGTGTTTTCCAACACAAATCATTCCAGTATTTGAAAGAGAAAGTGATGCATGCAGCCTAGGGTGGCCTTGGGCACATTAATCAGGGGTGTGTTCCTCAACGTCCTCCACTGGATCTGGAAGGAGAGAGACAGACCTGAGAAGGTTTTGGAGGTGCTTGTTTTGCAGCAGGACTATGGGAGCCTGAGGTAGTTAGGAAAAGGCTGGACTAAGACACCTGGGAGACTGCATGGAGCCTGTACCCACTGTCTGTGGGAAGATGTGTGAGAATCCACACTGAGGCTGGTGGGATGCTCTCTTCCCAAAGAGGAAGCTTCTTGCACCACATGCGACTCCCCTGTGGGGCTGTCTCACTTCCGTGTGAGTGCCTCTCCTGTGCAGACACCTTTCCTGAGCGGCTCATGCTGAGTCCTGCTCAGAGACTTCATGCCAGCATGGCCCTGCCAGCGCTGGTCCTGGCATTCTTCCTGGCCCTTGCTCCTCTGCTGCTGGCACCGGGACAGATGCACCACGGTCCTGTGACTCCGCGGGTATACAAGGAAGCAGGTAAGAGCAGATTGTGCCTCTCTCTTACAAAAATGGTTTTGCTGCTCCTCTACTTGTGTATTTGCTACATGGCTTTACCCTGCTCAGCCCATAACTGAGCTGTGGGAGGGCTGGAGCTGGTATCTGCATATGTTCCTTCATGTTGTGGTGGGACAAAGCTCTATTTGGGATGGAGGCCAGCAAGCCTTGCTGTGCTGGGAAACTTCCATGAGCGTGGGACTTGCAGTGTCCCTCTAGGAAGTGGGTAGTGTTGCTGGGAGCAGGAGGTGGCCGAGTCTTGTTATGCAGTAGACAGGTGAATCCAGAGCAATCAGGGCAGTGATGGCCTTTCTGGGCAGCTCGAGCAGCACCCCTGTCACAGGCGACAATGGTGTTCATCAAAGATGTGATCTGTGAGCTCTGTTAGCTGGGATGCCTGCTCTCTCCCATAGTCCCTGGGGTTGAAGGAGCTGCAGTTTGGTGGGATTGCTCACATCAAGAGGCTTGTTCTGCTCTTTCTCCAAGCAAACAGGGTTAGGGGCAGCTCCTTGGTCTCTGCTAGGCACTTCCTACAAAGAATGTGGTCTTTCCTGTGGTGATTATGTGCTGTGCCCTGGGCTTGCTGGTACCTGTCCACAGGGTATGGCTAGGGGACTTGAGCTGTGAGTATTCTCTCTGCAGGGAAATGGGAGAAGTGGCTAGCCAAATCATCAGATGGGTCGTGAGTCATGCTACCTATCACTGGTGGCTTAAGGGATGCTGCCCTTCCAGCAGTGGGCAGCTCTCAGCTTTCCAGGGCAGGATGGCACCTCCTCTCTCCTAGTCTGTACAAATGTCTGGGACTGACCCAAAAGGATGTCACCCTCGGCCAGGGTTACTTCAAGGTGTTTAATGGCAGGAGGGGGGAAGGTGTGTGAGGAGGATGAGGCTGGGACCAAGTCAAGGGTTTCATGTCTGTCAGGTTGTTTTCTGTCAGTGAGGTGTGTGCTCTGAGGGCACTGGGAGAGACACTGTTGAGGGGGAGGGAGTTTCATGCATGCACTACGTGGTCTAAAAGGATGGGGCTGGTGACCACTGTCCTTTGGCGTGGAGAGCTGGGAAGAGGGTTGCCGTGATGGCGTGGAAACCTGCTGCCAGAAAAGGGAAGTGGTGAGTGCTGGCTGGCAGGAAGTGGGCAGCTGCAGCTGGAGAGAGGTATTTTATCCTCCTTCAGGGAAGGCCAGCTCCATGCCCACTGCCTCCTCATGGACTTGTTTTGCACTAAGTGAGCAAGTCTAGGAGACATGTCTGCCAGGGCAGGACAAGGCAGACTCATTTTGGGTGAAGTAGAGAGGTTAGGCACATTGGGCAGGGTGTGAGCTTTGTGGCCACTGGTGTGAACTCAGGTGGTCTGAGGGGCAGACTCTAGTTGAAAACTTCTTTCACCCACTGTGGAAAAAACTTATTAACACACAGAGTCAAGGTATTTTATTTATTTACAGTTCTGCACAGAAAAATGTGCTAGGTGGCAAATCCACATAACCAGCACACTGAGGCAGAAAAAAGCAGGTATACTGACAGAGATACAATCTTCTTACTGAAGTCACTGCTTGCCTGCGTTACTATGACTCATTCTTTCCCTTCTTCACTGTAAAAGCACTGTGTTCCAAGAAATCATGGTACATGCTAGGAGTGGTGGTCTTTTTGAGAGAAAGAGGCAAATGATGAACTGAGAACGTGGGATTTTTACTACAATTAAGAGCAAGGATTCATCACTAGGGTGATGAATAGTGCACAAAACTCATCAAAACTGGGTGTTTTCTAGCTCACAGGTAAACATCCTGGATGATAAAGGTGTTTTGTTTTTTTTGTTTCTCCCCTTTCAAGGACTTACACGATTCATTTTCTGTTTGCCTCATTCCTGTAGTTACTGCTTCCACTGCAGAATTGCTTGTTTTTTTCTCTTCTTATCTGCAACTTTACTCCTGTTATTCACCATTGCTGCTGGCAGAGACTCTAAGGGACCAAGCTGTGGAGTCTGGAACAGCAGCAGAGACTCCCTGGGCCTGGTGCACTCCCACAGCGCCTGTATTTGTGGGAGAGAGCCGCATCCCCCAGGCTGCTGGACCCCTCTGGCTGGGGTGTCTCCACAGCAGCAGGTGGGCAGGATAACCCTGTGGATAACCCTCCTGCAGTGCCCCTGAGGCTGTGGAGAGGGATAAAGCATCTGGGGGATGGGGCTCATCCTGAGAGGTGCCATCTCTGCCACCCCTCTGAAGAGAGAGAGATTGACACCCCTCTGGATGGAACTCCCTCATCCTCATGGATGCTGCTGGAGCCCAGTGACCCTCAGGCTCTGCCTCCTGGCCTTTGCACACAGGAAAATGTAAAATTCCCTCCGACTGGGACCCCAAACTGCGGTTTAACCCAGAGAAGAACAACAGCTATGCTTTGAACGAAGTGGTGCAGCTCAGCTGTGAAGGGAAGATTCCTGGGAAGTTTGCACCATCTGTGCCACAGATTCAATGCATTTCCAGAGGGGCCCAGATCCTGTGGAATGAGACTCCCACCTGCAAGGGTAAGCACAGCCATGCACCAGGGTCCTGAGCTGGTGGCAGACCCTCTGTGACCTGGTCACGCACATGACAGTGCAGGAATGGCAGACCCGGATGCCTTGGCTTTCCCCCGTGTCCTGGCACTGACAAGGCTCTTTTCATCTCAGCACCTTGCTGCAGGCACCTGCTGGGATCTCTGCTCCTGGGGAGAGGAATCCTTCCCAGCCAGCATCTCCTGCCTCAGCATGAAGTAGGAATAGCTGCAGGTGTTCTTCTTTTTGCCTAGAAAGCTTCTCTAGGGTTTGGGTTGTTTCTAGTGTGGGAGGCTGTTACTGCAGCCTGGCTTACCTGTGCATGAGGGAGACAAGAAAATGGGGACTCAAATACCCCATGGAGGGGGCAGAATCCAGGGGAGGCTTGTGAATCCTGGAGGTGGGGTGATGAGGAGCCCTGTGTGCTTGGAGACTGCCTGGGCACATGAGACTCGTGTGTGTTGGGGTGAATAGTCAGAGTCATGAGAGACCTGTCCCATGCCTCCTCTGATAACCTCCCAAAAGTACTTCTCATACAATTTTACCTCTGACAGAAACATGCCAAAGGCCTGCTTGGTGGGACCCCAGACTCCAGCTGGCACCAGCCCATGACAGTTACACAGAGAATGAAGAAGTGACTCTGAGCTGCAACAGTGGTTTCCAGCCGTCCTTCACCCATGTCAAATGTGCAAACAGGGTTCAGCCATTGAATTATTCCATGTCCCTAAAGGAAAATGCGTGGCTGGGAAGAAACAGCAGTGGTGTGTGGATTCCGGTTCAGGAGAACATAGTGTGCATTGGTAAGCAGGGTGTCAGCAAGTGCTTCCTAATGAACTCTTGGTTAATCTCTGCCCCGTTCATCCAACTCTGAGCTTCCATCATCACTGTGGCCAGGGATGCAATCCTGATGCCATGTCGGGGTGGCTTGGATCTCAGGCATTTGGTACCTGAGACCATTCTCCAACTGAATTCTGGCACATCCTTGTCCACCACCTGCCTGGACAGGCCCCAGCTGACACCCACCCACAAGGAAAGCCCCATCCCAACCAGCCTTGCCAAGGTGTCCCATCAGAGCAGATGGACTTGTCACCTTCCCTCTCCTTTCACTGGCTAGAGGGATTGCTGAGTACCCACCACACACCCCGCTCCTTGAAACCTCCCAGTCCAACTAACATACACTTTCACCTCTGCCAGAAACATGCCAAAAGCCCTACTGGGATTCCAGACTCCAGCTGGCACCAGACTGGGAAAGTTACAGGAAAAATGAAGAAGTGATTCTGAGCTGTCCCAAGGGTTTCCAGGCACCCTTTACCCATGTCAAATGTACAGGAAAAGTTCTGTCTGTTATCAATGGAAAACCTATATACAGAGAAGCTTGGACTGGAAAGGACAGCACAGGCAATGTGATCAACATTCAGCCCAAGTTCAGGGTATAGTGCCTGGGTAAGGAGGCTTCAGGAGCATTCCTGACTGCCCTGCCCTGCCCTCCCTGAGCAGGGAAGGCAGCCTGTGGGGGCACAGGGAGCTGCTGGCTCTGTGCTGCCTGGGGAAATGGCAGGTGCTGCTGAAGACAGTGTCAAGGCAGCTCCCGAGTCTGCTCTGTGCCTGCCCTGGGGCTTCAGGGGTGCCCTGGTGGGGAGCTGGCTGATGCCAGCTTTAGTCCCTGGGGGCCCTGGCAGCAGGGAGTTTTGGTACAGAGGTCCCTCCCTTGATACCAAAGTAGCCATGTTGGCAGTAACCAGCACTGCCCATGGCACAGGAGGTCAGGGACCATGCAGGGCTTCAGGCTGTGCTCACAGGGGGCTGGGTGGTGTGTGGCACACACAGGTCTCCCTAAGGGCTTCTGGTAAGTGCATGTGCTGAAAAGTCAGGGCTACAGGTCTGACAGATGTTTGTGGCACAGGGAACAAGGGTAAAGGCATGTCCCCCTCCTCGTGTGCTGGTTCCCCCTCCCTGGCCCTGCTGCATGCTGTCACTGCAGAGCCAGCTTTGGGGCTCAGACTTTTTGCCTTCTCAGGAGGAATCAGGGTGTTGCCATCCTGCCTGAGTGACAAACAGGGCGACAGAGTCTCTGGGCAGGCTTTGTGCACAGTGCAAACTCCTCAGTCCCTGACTCCAGCTCCTCCTAGGCCTATCCAGGAAACCTGGGGGAAGAAGTTTGGAGTCCTTCTTGTCCTCATCCTCTTGCCAAGAATTGGTGTGGAAGGGCTGCTCTGTGCAGTGTCCTGGAGCTCACCTCTTGCTCTGAGGGGCCAGGGAAGGGGATGCCCTGCTCCATGCCCTGCAGAGCCACACTGCCCAGCTAACACTTTCCCACCTTGTTGGTGCAGAGAAATGCCAGAAGCCCCAGTGGGACTCCAGGTTTATCTTTAACCAAGAACAAGAGACCTTCAACCCAAATGAAGTGGTGAAGATACGGTGTCCTGAGGGGTACTGGCCTCCACTCATGGAGATCAAATGTGTAGCATTGAAACCACGAGAAGGTTCCATGATTCCTCATAGTGGCTGGAAAGTGAGGAGTGGCACAGACATCTGGCACCTTATGGAAGAGACCTTGACCTGTGTGGGTAAGTGAGCAAGCCAGACACTGTCCCAGTGCTCTCAGTCTGTCCTACCCAGGCATGGAGAGCAATTCTGCATGTGTGGCACAGCATCAGTGCCCCGTGCTCAGGGTGGTCAGGGCACAGAAGAGAATTCCATAGCAAATTCTGGAAGCATCCCAGGTTTATGTCTGTGCTGTTGACAACTCTGGCATGTGTAGTCTGGGAGAAGGCAGAATGCCCTTGTCTACTCTGTGCTGGGGACAGGCAAGTGAGGGGATGGTGGGGTTGATGGAGCCTGGTGTCAGAGCTTGGAGGGGAGGGAGGGAATGATCCTCTTCAAATGTTCCCTTCACAGATGTCCGCCAGGTTTTCAATGGGACCCAGAAAGTTTCCAGCACCAGCATCAAACTGAACTGGATCTGCAGGTTCCCTCCTATGTGCCACCGTATTTGGGCCAGGTGCCGGATGGAGTTCCATTCCTCCTCAGACTGTGAGGCTGAGGACGTGAAGGTAGAGGAGATGCTACAAGGCCACAAGGGAACATTCACCTGCTCCCCTCTGCAGCCCTTCACGGTCTACAGTGTCATCATCTCCCTGCTGCCTAACACAATCCTGTACACAGACCTCATCATGACAAAGGAAATGGGTATGTTTACAGGAAATGTCAGGATGCTCTTCACCCTGAAGCTCAGCCAGAGCACCTGCTCCCTGCTGTGATGGTCCTGGGGTCAGAGCTGCTTGCAGCCTGTGGGGATCTGGGGAAGGGGCTGTGCAGGGCCCTACAGCAGGGCCTTCCCCCTCCTCACCACACCATTTTGGCTGCAGAGGCACAAGCAGCCTTTGTGGGGGGACAAATAATCACTATCCAGGCATGATCCTGTTCCCCTGTGCTTCCAGTGCCAGACAAGCCAGAGAATCTGAGGATGGATTCCAAAACGGGGACCCTCAGGTGGGAGGCGCTGCCCTCCTGCAAAGGGGAGATCACTGGATACCAGGTACCAGGATTCCATGGAGTGCCTGTAGTCCCCCTCACCTTGTCTGGAGCTCTGTGCAGACAGCCTGAGGAGAGGGAGGAACCCTCCTTGGCCAGGGCCCACAGGCTGTGCCCTGTTGGTTTTGTTCTGGTAGGGACAGGTCCCCTCTAGTGCCCAGCCCCTCTCCACAGAGCTGCCCAGTGCAGAAGCAGGATGTTGTGCTATTGTCTAGCAGCTTCCTGTCCTTCCTCCAGCTGAACATCACCACCTTGAGAGTACAGGACGGCAGCTTCCTTGAATTCAGGCAGGTGTTGGTGAACCAGTCTGTCTCTGCATATGCACCACCTCATCAGACAGCTGGCAGCAAATACCTGGTGACAGTGCAGGGCCTGACGGCAGCTGGGGCTGGGGCTGCATCACAACTGGAATTTGAAGCCTACGTCCGGGGTAATGGTTGTTCTACCCTTTGTCTGGTTGGGGTGGCCTCTCAGGGGGTGAGTGCTGAGTCTGGAGCAGCCTCCAGACCTGTGTGTGCACCCACCGTGTCCCAGCTCAGACAGGGGCAGGGAGTGTGGGCACCTGGCTCAGCAGTGAGCATGAAGCTCGGGGAGTCCTTCCTTGAGGGCTTGCATTGGCAGGTCTGCTTCAGCCACTGTGTGTGCCTTTGATACCAGACTGCCCCCTCTACTCTTCCACTGAAGAAGGTGACACCCATCCCTGCATTTGGGTGCACAGGTGGCTCAAGGTCAGAGAGCACTAGTGCTGCTGAGCCTGGGTGTGTGTTCTCCTGTAGTGTGCAGGATGGCTGAGCAGGCTGCCAGACCCTCCAGCTGGGGCCATGGGACAAGGCCCTGTGCTCCAGAGCCTCTCTCTGCCCTGTGCAAGCAGAAATGGAGGCAGGGGAAGGCTTGCTGCCTATCCCTGCAGCAGCCAGGGCAGCAGGGTCTGGACACGCATTTCTACACGTGCAGACACTCAGCAGCAAGGCTGGTGCACCAGTGCTGGTGCACGGCCCAGGCTGTGGCACCCACTGCTCTCTGTGTGTTAGTTTCAGGGCAGCCTCCGGGCCCTTGGCCTGGGTCAGCAGTCACTGTAGTGGTGGTGGTGGTGCTGTTGATCCCCTTGTCTGCTGGGATCATCTGGTTCATGCTGTTCAGGTGAGTTGCGTGAGATTTGGAGTCTTGGTTCTGTCTCAGGCCATGCTGTGTTGTGGGGTGGGTGGGGATAGAGAGGGTTCCCCAGATGCTCCCACCCTTCTCTGGGTGCTGAGGATGCAGCTGGCTGGTCCTAACACAAATTTGCTCTAGGGCTCCTAGGTGGGACTCTAAGTGTCTTTTTCAGGGCTGGGATGGGGCCGTGTGTGCTGAGGGACCCTCTCCCCTTATTGCTGGTACAGCTGCCACCGCTGTCCCCTGGGGTGTAGGTGGGCGATGCCTGCCAGGGCAGAGGGAGGGTGTACAGAGCCCTCCATGCCACTGCTGCTGGGTTCAGCAGGGTCTGGCCCAGGTCAGCCTCTCCCTGACTCAGGACTTCCCTTTGCCTTCCCAGAAAAAAGAAGACCTTGCCCAGAAATGCTGAGGAGGATCAGTACACAGGTAGGATTCCCAGCACAGAGGGACTGTAGGGCTGGAGCTGGGAGGGGAGCAGGTGTATTTCAGGAGGGCCTAGTGGCATTCTGAGGTAGCTCCAGGCAGCCTCGCTGGCTTTGGCTGACCTGTCAGACCAACGTGTCCCACATCCACTCCCAGCTGAGACCCTGCTCAGTAGCCTCTTCCAGCAGCTCCTGGCTGCGGTGTCCCTGAGGTTCCAGTGAGGGCTGGGAACTGCTCCTCCTCACTCTCTCTGGAGCAGGCAGCAGCTCTTCCCAGCCCTGCTGTCCTGTTGGTGTGCATCCCAGGACGATCTGCTGCCCTTGGTGGTGCTGCCTGCCTGAGGCTGCTCTGCTCCTTCTCCCACAGCCCCCAGGTCCCTCAGGCTGTTTCTATCCTCTTGTCCCCCCCCAGATCTCCAGCCCTACGAGAATGTACACGGGGATAATTACTGCGTGATCGAGAATTTTCTTGAGAAGGATGCAGGTAGGAAATGGGTTGTCCTGCCTGTGAGGCCACATGGCACAGAGTGGAGACTGCCAGCTCTGATGGTGTGTCTGAGCTCCTCACGTTGCCGAGGGCACGCAGCAGCCTCTGCCCTGGGCTCTCTTGCTCTCCTCAGGTAAGTGTGGCCAGGATGGAGAGCCATTTCCCCACTCCCTGCTTGTTCATGAGACTCAGCAGTGAGGAAGAAGAGCAGCTGGAGTGGACATCTGAGGCACTTCCCTTCTCGAGGCTTGGTCCTCCACCAATGACAATGAGTTATCCCATGAGTTATTGCTTCCCCCCAAAACTGTCTTCTTCATCAAGCTCCAGAATCCTCTGCCACAGCACAGGAGCAGCTTTAGGCATGGGACGACCTCCTCGTGACAGCAAGGATATGTCCTGGTAGTTTTCCAGTGCTCTGGCATAGCCATCTCACCAGCATCTTGGTGCCTGCAAATGTTCCCTGAGATTGGAGGAGCTCACAACTCCTCTTTCCAGGCTGTGTTCTTGTATCCATCTATACCCTGTCCTCTGCTTGAGGACTCTGCTTTGGCCTAGCTGTGCTGCCCTGGCCACTTTGCTGCTGTGTTTGAAAAAACCAATAAATTGTTGTGGTTTGCAGGGGCTGCCTGGCCCACAAAAGCTCCCATCTTGTCCTCGTTGTTTTGTATGTGAAAGCCTTGACCCCATGAATCTTCATGGAGGAGCTTGGAGTAGGCTTTTCCAGCCCCTGACAGCTCCAAGGAAACACACCTGAGTGCTGCATGCTCCCAGTGCAATGCTTTGGGTGGCTGCTTTCCCTCTTCCCCATCCTATTGGTAACACCATCTCCACTTGCATAGCTGGACCTCTGTGTTGGTCTGTGTCCTCCCCTGTGGGTGTTGGTGCTCATCTCCCATCTTGTGAGGTGCAGCTGGCACTGGGCCTCTTGGGACATCTGTGTCCTGCAGCCTTTGGGATCTGCTGGCTCTTGGCTGCTGCTGCTGTCCCATCCCTCCAACAGCCACTGTCTCCCATCCTGTGGGGTGCCAGTGCCCAGTGCAGCCTGGATCCTGAGATTCCAAAGGCTCTCCTTGGTGAGGGCTGCACTGCTGGCAAATGGGGCAATCAACCTCTCTTTTTTCCAGCTCTGTGTGTTGCCTGTGATGAATCCATCTCCCTCTCCTGCCCTTGGGCACAGGGGCTCTCCTGAGCTCCCTGGACTCAGAGCCTATTGTGTCACAGACATATTTTATGAAAAATCCTTTTGCCAGGATCTTTTCTCCTGAGAAGCTGGGAAGCTTCAGCTTCTCCACATTTTGCTGCTTTGGAATGTAATTTGGAAAATTGTTTACCCAGCATGTGAAATTGTTTTTACTTGATGACCAATGACAGCCACCTGTGTCGAGGCTGTGAGCAGTCACAAGATTTTATTATTCCTTTCTATTCCTTTTCAGCCTTCTGATGGATCCTTTCTCTCTATTTTTAGTATAGTTTTAGTTAGCATTATAATATAATATAATTAATATAATTAATATAATTAATATAATATAATGAATAGAATAGAATAGAATAGAATAGAATAGAATAGAATAGAATAGAATAGAATAGAATAATATATCAGCTTTCTGAAACATGGAGTCAAGATTCTCATCTCTTCTTTTGTCCTGGGACCCTCGAACACAATCACACTATTGCTGGTGCCTATTGTGCTTTTTACAGCCCTGGACACAGAGCTGTCATGGTTTTTTGCTTCAGTGTTGTCTCTCTCCCCTGTCAAACCTGCCAATACCCAGTGCAGCCTGGAGGCTGAGGGGCAGCCTGAAGGCTCTCCTTGTGGAGGAGTACACTGTCAGAACATAGAGCAATTGACCTCTCCCTTCTCCAGCTTCTTTTCAGCCTGGCATGTCTTGCATGTGCTGGTAAAGACATGTTTTGACAGCTCTTCAGTCCCAGCTCAGACAGGGGCAGGGAGTGTGGGCACCTGGCTCAGCAGTGAGCATGAAGCTCGGGGAGTCCTTCCTTGAGGGCTTGCATTGGCAGGTCTGCTTCAGCCACTGTGTGTGCCTTTGATACCAGACTGCCCCCTCTACTCTTCCACTGAAGAAGGTGACACCCATCCCTGCATTTGGGTGCACAGGTGGCTCAAGGTCAGAGAGCACTAGTGCTGCTGAGCCTGGGTGTGTGTTCTCCTGTAGTGTGCAGGATGGCTGAGCAGGCTGCCAGACCCTCCAGCTGGGGCCATGGGACAAGGCCCTGTGCTCCAGAGCCTCTCTCTGCCCTGTGCAAGCAGAAATGGAGGCAGGGGAAGGCTTGCTGCCTATCCCTGCAGCAGCCAGGGCAGCAGGGTCTGGACACGCATTTCTACACGTGCAGACACTCAGCAGCAAGGCTGGTGCACCAGTGCTGGTGCACGGCCCAGGCTGTGGCACCCACTGCTCTCTGTGTGTTAGTTTCAGGGCAGCCTCCGGGCCCTTGGCCTGGGTCAGCAGTCACTGTAGTGGTGGTGGTGGTGCTGTTGATCCCCTTGTCTGCTGGGATCATCTGGTTCATGCTGTTCAGGTGAGTTGCGTGAGATTTGGAGTCTTGGTTCTGTCTCAGGCCATGCTGTGTTGTGGGGTGGGTGGGGATAGAGAGGGTTCCCCAGATGCTCCCACCCTTCTCTGGGTGCTGAGGATGCAGCTGGCTGGTCCTAACACAAATTTGCTCTAGGGCTCCTAGGTGGGACTCTAAGTGTCTTTTTCAGGGCTGGGATGGGGCCGTGTGTGCTGAGGGACCCTCTCCCCTTATTGCTGGTACAGCTGCCACCGCTGTCCCCTGGGGTGTAGGTGGGCGATGCCTGCCAGGGCAGAGGGAGGGTGTACAGAGCCCTCCATGCCACTGCTGCTGGGTTCAGCAGGGTCTGGCCCAGGTCAGCCTCTCCCTGACTCAGGACTTCCCTTTGCCTTCCCAGAAAAAAGAAGACCTTGCCCAGAAATGCTGAGGAGGATCAGTACACAGGTAGGATTCCCAGCACAGAGGGACTGTAGGGCTGGAGCTGGGAGGGGAGCAGGTGTATTTCAGGAGGGCCTAGTGGCATTCTGAGGTAGCTCCAGGCAGCCTCGCTGGCTTTGGCTGACCTGTCAGACCAACGTGTCCCACATCCACTCCCAGCTGAGACCCTGCTCAGTAGCCTCTTCCAGCAGCTCCTGGCTGCGGTGTCCCTGAGGTTCCAGTGAGGGCTGGGAACTGCTCCTCCTCACTCTCTCTGGAGCAGGCAGCAGCTCTTCCCAGCCCTGCTGTCCTGTTGGTGTGCATCCCAGGACGATCTGCTGCCCTTGGTGGTGCTGCCTGCCTGAGGCTGCTCTGCTCCTTCTCCCACAGCCCCCAGGTCCCTCAGGCTGTTTCTATCCTCTTGTCCCCCCCCAGATCTCCAGCCCTACGAGAATGTACACGGGGATAATTACTGCGTGATCGAGAATTTTCTTGAGAAGGATGCAGGTAGGAAATGGGTTGTCCTGCCTGTGAGGCCACATGGCACAGAGTGGAGACTGCCAGCTCTGATGGTGTGTCTGAGCTCCTCACGTTGCCGAGGGCACGCAGCAGCCTCTGCCCTGGGCTCTCTTGCTCTCCTCAGGTAAGTGTGGCCAGGATGGAGAGCCATTTCCCCACTCCCTGCTTGTTCATGAGACTCAGCAGTGAGGAAGAAGAGCAGCTGGAGTGGACATCTGAGGCACTTCCCTTCTCGAGGCTTGGTCCTCCACCAATGACAATGAGTTATCCCATGAGTTATTGCTTCCCCCCAAAACTGTCTTCTTCATCAAGCTCCAGAATCCTCTGCCACAGCACAGGAGCAGCTTTAGGCATGGGACGACCTCCTCGTGACAGCAAGGATATGTCCTGGTAGTTTTCCAGTGCTCTGGCATAGCCATCTCACCAGCATCTTGGTGCCTGCAAATGTTCCCTGAGATTGGAGGAGCTCACAACTCCTCTTTCCAGGCTGTGTTCTTGTATCCATCTATACCCTGTCCTCTGCTTGAGGACTCTGCTTTGGCCTAGCTGTGCTGCCCTGGCCACTTTGCTGCTGTGTTTGAAAAAACCAATAAATTGTTGTGGTTTGCAGGGGCTGCCTGGCCCACAAAAGCTCCCATCTTGTCCTCGTTGTTTTGTATGTGAAAGCCTTGACCCCATGAATCTTCATGGAGGAGCTTGGAGTAGGCTTTTCCAGCCCCTGACAGCTCCAAGGAAACACACCTGAGTGCTGCATGCTCCCAGTGCAATGCTTTGGGTGGCTGCTTTCCCTCTTCCCCATCCTATTGGTAACACCATCTCCACTTGCATAGCTGGACCTCTGTGTTGGTCTGTGTCCTCCCCTGTGGGTGTTGGTGCTCATCTCCCATCTTGTGAGGTGCAGCTGGCACTGGGCCTCTTGGGACATCTGTGTCCTGCAGCCTTTGGGATCTGCTGGCTCTTGGCTGCTGCTGCTGTCCCATCCCTCCAACAGCCACTGTCTCCCATCCTGTGGGGTGCCAGTGCCCAGTGCAGCCTGGATCCTGAGATTCCAAAGGCTCTCCTTGGTGAGGGCTGCACTGCTGGCAAATGGGGCAATCAACCTCTCTTTTTTCCAGCTCTGTGTGTTGCCTGTGATGAATCCATCTCCCTCTCCTGCCCTTGGGCACAGGGGCTCTCCTGAGCTCCCTGGACTCAGAGCCTATTGTGTCACAGACATATTTTATGAAAAATCCTTTTGCCAGGATCTTTTCTCCTGAGAAGCTGGGAAGCTTCAGCTTCTCCACATTTTGCTGCTTTGGAATGTAATTTGGAAAATTGTTTACCCAGCATGTGAAATTGTTTTTACTTGATGACCAATGACAGCCACCTGTGTCGAGGCTGTGAGCAGTCACAAGATTTTATTATTCCTTTCTATTCCTTTTCAGCCTTCTGATGGATCCTTTCTCTCTATTTTTAGTATAGTTTTAGTTAGCATTATAATATAATATAATTAATATAATTAATATAATTAATATAATATAATGAATAGAATAGAATAGAATAGAATAGAATAGAATAGAATAGAATAGAATAGAATAGAATAATATATCAGCTTTCTGAAACATGGAGTCAAGATTCTCATCTCTTCTTTTGTCCTGGGACCCTCGAACACAATCACACTATTGCTGGTGCCTATTGTGCTTTTTACAGCCCTGGACACAGAGCTGTCATGGTTTTTTGCTTCAGTGTTGTCTCTCTCCCCTGTCAAACCTGCCAATACCCAGTGCAGCCTGGAGGCTGAGGGGCAGCCTGAAGGCTCTCCTTGTGGAGGAGTACACTGTCAGAACATAGAGCAATTGACCTCTCCCTTCTCCAGCTTCTTTTCAGCCTGGCATGTCTTGCATGTGCTGGTAAAGACATGTTTTGACAGCTCTTCATACAAGCTGTCTGCCCATCAGCTCAGTACCTGCAACTGGCACCTGGGACCAAAATATCTCCTTCTTATGAACTGTTGCTGGTGTGACATGTCTGCCTGATGGAGCACTCCTTGTGGGTATTGGGCAGACAGGAGAAGAGAAATTCAATGCTGTGTGGGTGCTGCTGGTTGAGAAAGGGGAATGAGCAGGCTTGGGATAGCAAAGAAGAGTTGCCACCTCCTTGGCTACCCTGCTTCCCACTCCATCCCCCTGTCCCTAGGCATACCCTGGGCTGTCAGCCTCATGACTCCATCTGCTCTGTCCGGACAGTCAGTAAAGGCTTGTGGTTTGGACAGTGCTACCTGCTGCCCCCAGCTCCTGCCTGGTCACCTCATTGCCCTTGTGAGGTGCTGTTCCCTGAGCTAATTGCACCTTGTTGAGGGGAGCCATGAGCAGGGCACCCTTTACCCTGGGCAGGAGTGTGTCCTGTGCATGTGCCACAAGCAAAGCTGAGGGACAAGTATGGTCTCTGGGCCTCTGCAGCCCCCCATGTCTGATCACCCAGCCTTCTGAAATCCGAGACATCCAAAGTGGATGGGAGGTTCTGGAGGAAGAGAAAAGCGGTGGCTGCTGATGAGCAAGAGGCATGGTTTAGTACTGTGAGTGTTTTCTCAAGCACACAGCTGGCACTGTAGGGCAGCATGTCCTGCACACTTGGGGACAGAGGAGAGTGCTGCCAGGCTGAGAGGGAGCAGGAGGAGGAGGCAGCTGAGGATAGAGAAGCGGGGAAGGATGAGAGAGGGTGTGGGTTGAGTGTTTCTTTCAGAAGGGCCACAGACTGTTTCAGGCACTGAAGTACTCCTTGTAGTTCATGTCCCCATTCCTATCTGTGCTTCTGACCAGTCTTTATGTAGTTTCCCAAAGGTCCTCCATCTCCTGCGATCATTGAGGGGAAGTGACTCATCACCACTCTAAAACCCACACAGTGTCAGGAGGCACTTGGCTATTACCTCAGTAACAGGAGTAACACTCTTGCATGCCCTAATAACTAGGAGGGTTTTGGGAGGAAACTCTGGGATCTGGTGACAAGGTTCCTTCTCTGTTGAGTCCCAGAGCCTTGATGCTCCTGGGGCAAAAAGATATCAAAAGGCAGAAGTGTTGACAGGGATGGGAGGTTCCCTGCCTGAAGAGGAAGCTCCTACATCTCATGAGGAGATGTGTCTGTTTCCTTCCTGTGGTTGCAAGCCCTGCAGTCAGATACGGATGCCTGGGCTCAGAGGCAACGAGTGGGGCTGAGATTTCAGTCCTGCCTGGGGACTTCAGGCTAGGATGGCCCTGCAGTCACTGCCTCTCAGGTTTCTCCTGGCCCTTGCATCTCTACTGTCAGCACATGGCCAGGATGATTTTTTCAGCATCCAGATAGTGCCCCAGGGAACAGGTAAGAAGTGCTTCTTCCTCTTGGAAGCTTCTGCTGCCTCTCCTCCTCTGTGGTGGATATTCATCTTCACTGCCTGCAGCCCTGGGCTGGAACTCAGACAGACCCCTGAGGGCTGTGTCAGCTGAGGCAGCCTTTGTCTGCCCCAGGGACAGGAGCTACAATGCAGTGTGCACTGGGGTTCTGTGGGACAGACAGCACAGGGTTTGATGTGCAGTGATGCTCTCCAGAAAAGCAGTTTGCCAATCATTCCCTGGACAGAGTGGGTATGAATTGGGCATGAGGTCACCCACTGTGAATCAGGGGAAGGGTCTTGAGGGAGGTGTCACTTTCATCCTACCCCCAGGTGTGCCTGAGGAACACTGTGCCTGCTGAGGGCAGTGCAAGAGGGAGATTGCTGCTGCTTTGCCAGACAGATGGATTGGGGCAGGATCAGTGGCTGGGTGCCTGAGTATGGGGTGGGTCATGGCCGTGTCCCACTGGCACCAGACCGGATGAATTATAAGAAGAATGAAGAAGTGATGCTGAGGTGCCCTGAAGGTTTCCAGCCATCCTTCACCCATGTCAAATGTTCGAGCGAAGTCCAGTCCTTCTCTGGTGGGAAACCTGTATACAGAGAGGTCTGGACTGGAAGAAACTCCCACGGTGCCTGGCTCCGCATTCGGTCCAGCGTGGAGTGCAGTGGTAAGGGAGGGATCAGGAGCCCTCTGGGCTGCCTTCCTGAGCAGGGAAAGTAGGGTGTGGGGCACAGGAGGTTTTGGGCTCCGTGCTGCCCAGGGAAATGGCAGGCGTCAAGTCCAGCCTGCAGGTCACCACTGCGGGTGTTGGTGACAAGGGTCTCCCTGAGGCCTTCTGGCAGGAGGATGTGCACAAAGGAAAAAAGCATGGGAGAGGGATTTGTCTTGGAGTTTGTGGCCTGCACATGGCACTACTGTTGGAGCAGGATAAGAGGGCTTTACTGCTGGTGTGGCTGGGAGTACCACAGCTTGTTCCATGTGGGCTGGGCCCCTCCAGGTTCTGCAGCATGGTGGGTGCAGGGTTAGCACTAGCTTCTCACAGCTTAGGGCATTCATGTTCCCTCCAAGGAAGAAAAGAGTTGTTCCTGATGGACTGTAGAGATTCTGGGAAACACAGACATCTCTGTTTGGAATGAATGGGGAAAATTGTTTGAGCAGTAGTAATACAGTCATTTACCCACATTCCTTCATGTTCAACTCCTCCAGCTCCCCTTTCAGAGAGCCACAGTGACCACCTTCAGTCTGACTTTCCCTTCCACCGTGTTGGACTACAGCTTCTCTGTTGGTAAGTGTCTCCTTGCTCCTGCTGCCCAAGCCTCTCCTCTGCATGTTCCCTTCTGCCAGCCTGGCAGCTTCCCTGGAAATGAGCTGGCCCACCACAAGAGCTTCTGCGTCTCATTTGGAACAGAGCAAGATCCCCACACTTTGGGTGATCCTCTTGCCCAGAAGAAACCTCAGCCAGGACAAAGGCGTACACACTTGCACATACCCTTTGCCATTCTTGGGGCCATTGCCAGCAGGAGGCCAGGCTGTGGCACTCACCCCTGCCTCTGTTTGTTGCAGGGCAGACTGTGGGCCAGTGGCATTGGATTGTGATTGGACTGGTTGTGGTGCTGGCAGTCCTTCTTGTGGTTGCAGTCATCCTGTGGCTTGTGCACTCCAGGTGAGTAGAGGGGGGACAGGGTCAGCAGGTACATTCACAATGCCAGCCTCTTACCCAGCACTGCCCTTTGCCTTTCCAGGAAAAGGAAGTACTTGCCCAACAAAACTAAGGAGGATAATTAAAAAGGTAGGAAAATGCAATTCTGCAGACAACCATCACAGAGGGGACTATGGGGCTGTGGGGCAGGTGGGATGAGAGCAGCAATCTCCCAGGAGATCTTGAGTTTCAGGAGAAGCAGCAGTTTGTACACTGCACTGATACATGTCCTGATTTGCCTTGGCTGGGGAAGATCAGGATGGCACTGCCCACCAAGCCCCATGTGGATGCAGAGCCTGGTCCCAGGCAGTGCTCCCTGCCTGGAGCAGGGACAGGGTGAGCTAAGACGAGCATCCCGAAGGCTCAGGTCTTAGAGTGACCCGTGCCTGTGCCATCCCTCCTGGGGATCTGCACGAGGGATCTCAGGAGGGTCAGGCTGAGGGGCTGCTGCTCTCACCTCAGCACTGACAGCACCTCTGGGGCTCTGTGCTTGGGATGGAAGGGTTGGGCTGTGGCAGGCACTGCCGTGTGCTCCAGCCTGTCTCTGGCACTGGCTGCCCCTTTTCTCCACAGGTAAACGTGGCTAGGCTGGAGATCAGGCACTTCAGCCCCAGCCAGGACCATGGAGACATCCAGAGCAGTGAGGACATGGAGAAAATGGGAAGGATAACCCCAGCACAGTTCTGATGGCCGCCATGTCCCCTGGCTCTCCTGTGGCTGTTACCAGCACGGGGCTCCCATGAAACTCACCCAATTCAGCAGGGCAAGAGGAAAACAGAAGGCCCTGGAGGGCTGAGCTTTTTCATTCCTCAGTCCCTTCAGCTCCCAGGGTTTGCTTACTGCTTTTGTAAGGCCTTTGAATCTGGCTTTCTCTAATGCGTTTTTTTTTCCAGGCTTTGCTTTCGTTTTTTGCTTTCCTGGAGGCAGGACTTGTATGCCAGATTTCCCAGTCCCAGACTCACACAGGCTCAGGTTGATGGCATTCTCCTGCTGTCCTCTGGGTTCCCAACCCCTCTGTTGATATTCAGCCAAACCCAGGGCTTGGCTTGGCCTGGCTGGACAGCTTTGTGACTCTGCCTGTTCTGTCTGGACAACAAATAAAGGCTTATGGATTGGAGGGGCTGCCTGTCCCACACAGCTTCTGCCTGCTCCCCTCATTGCCCCTGGGGGTGATATTCCCCTGCAGGGAGTGACTGTGCCTTGTTGAGGGGAGCCACGGGCAGGGCTGCTGTGATCCTGTTTTCCCCTGCTGGTGCCTGACAGCTTTTCTGACCTGCTGAGCTGAGCTGGACAGCTCTAATGTGAGTTTGGAGCAGATGTGTAGTGGGAATCCTTCAAGGGTGATGGGGTGATGGCCCTCCACAGACATTTTGGCCAAGGGTGTATTCTGTGCCCATGCTGTGGGATCTCTGGGCTTTCAGCTCCCTTGTTGCCCTGGGCCAGGTCAAACCTGGAAGAGAATTGAAGATCAGGGGTCACCACCACCATGGCCTTTATTGGTGAGACACAGGACAGACAGCAGTGGGGTCACTCCTGGCTCTGAAGTCTCCTGCCTTTGTGCAGCAAAGACAGAAGCTGTTTCTGTGGTGCTGCTTGGACCACATCCAGGATATTCATGTTGAGGCACCGTAACCTGGGATTGCCATGGTGCAGCCACAAGCTGATGAGAGAGCCTCTATGGAGCTGGAAGGGCAATGGCACTTGGAGCAGCACCAGGAAGATGCAGCCTCAGGAAGAGATTGTGTGGCGTTTGAAGGACCAGTTTAGCCCTCCAGGATCATGGGTTGTCCCACTTGTGGCTCTTGTTGACTTTGGGCTTCGTGCTTCTCCCAAAGTAGGACAAATATCCTGTGCTCCTGAGCACCATGGATCTTACAGCACTTTGAGACTTCTCTGAGCAAACACAATGTGGGTTTTGGTGCTACCCCACTTTCCTTGGGGTACTTGAGGGGACAAGGGAACCTGGATGGGACAGCTGTGCTCTTCATCCTTGGCAAGGAAGGATGGGTGAAGTCCTGGTGCATCTGCTCTGGCCTGCATACTCAGGCTGTAATTCCAGATAAGTTCCTGCACAAATGCTGGGCAGAGGTTCCCATTTCAAGACCTGGCCAAAATTTGGAGACAGTCTAGCCTGTGTTCTCCAGCCATGGAGGACCCTTGGGGTGGTTTTTCAGGGGAGTGAAGCAACTTGGGGCCATGCACATCCCTTTTTTTTCCCACTTGCTTCCACTGCTACTGATGAAGGGCTGTCCAGGGAGTCAACATCCCATCCAGAGACAGGCTGTGGTCATGCCCCTACTTGAAATTCCCATAGGTTTCAAATGAATTCAAATAACTGAGGGCTAGTTCATAGCAGAGCCCATACTGTTCCTGTGAATAAAAGGATGCACATGAGACTCTGGTGGACCAACAGCTGCAGTGGCATGTCAGCACTGGTCTCCAAGAGCTTCCTGACACACAGCATGCCCGACACAGGTACAGTCCACCCTCCTCCTCCCAGCTGGAGTCCACCTTCCCCTGCTGAGGAATCCAGGCATGCGCTCCAGGAGCTGGAAGGATGGGCTACACCAGCACTGGAGCCAGCTGGCTTTGGCTGGCAGGAGAGCCAACATCCAGGACACAACGTGTTAATCAGGCAGGTGGACCAGAAAGGGGCCACTCATCATGCAGCATGCTTTGGTGCCCCTTCAGTTCTGCAGAACCTGCCACTGAGGGAGTGGGTATGTCCCAGCAGCAGAAAATGGGGCTTTCAAAGATCTCATCAGCACCTGGCCTCAGGGTGATCTGAGCACAGAGGGGCTAGGGCAGCGACTGGGCAATGCCAGATATGGCTCTTGTTTTGGTGTTGCCATCCCAGCGGGGTGTGAAGTCAGTACCTACCACATTTTTAATGAACTGTCTCCGCCTCCTCTTCAGCATCCTCACAGCCTGGGACACATCCACCATGCCCTCACTTTGGATCTGCTCACACAGGAAACTAGCAGCACAGAAGATCCCACTGCGGCTGGCTCCATCCCTGTGGAAGAGGGCAAGGGGAATTTCATTTGCTCTGGGATGGCAGGTGGCAGGGCGGAGCCTCAGAGGTGTTCCTGTACATCCCCACACTCTCAGGATGACCTTGGCCACAGATCCCGCACCCAACCAGCCTCTACAGGGAAGCCCACCTCCCTCAGCATAGCTGAATTCATATCCACACATCCCTCCGAGATGGAACTGTCACCAATGTCACTGACACAGCCTGAGCTGTGTCCTGCTCTGTGCCATGGCTGCTCCTCCAGGAGACCTCACTCACCAGCAGGTGACAAGGATGTGTCCATCCTGGCTCTGCCGATGGTGTGTCTCCACCTTCCCTAGCAGGCTGATGATGGTGTCAGGGTGTGGGGGAAGGTGCTGCTGCATGGGCCAGTCTGTCAGTTGATGTAACCGGATTTCTACTGCAGACTTCTTGGGCTAGTGGGGAAGAAATACAGTGGGCTGGGCTGAGCAGAGACCTATTGGCTTCATGCAGAGAAGGATAGGGACAGCGCATGCCAGTCCTGGCTCAGCCATGCACACTGGGTCAAGGGAGCAGCTCCACAGTGGGACATGCCACTCCAGACTTTGCTCTTCTCCAACAAGTTGCTCTGAGGCCAACAGACAGAGCATAAGAGAAGAGCTGAGCACCAGCTGCAGCTCAGACTGATTCCAGTCTGTGTCCAGCTGCCTGCAGTGGTTCACCTTTCATGAACCACTGAGATGCACAAACTCCATCCAGAGCTGCTGTCCTCCAATTGGAAAGGCACACAAAAACCACTCAGAGAACCTCTGAGTTCCACCTCGGCCTGCAGCCTCACTTTCTTGGCATTAACCTCTCTGCCAAGGCAAAAGACTCTGCTCTGACCACTGCCCTGCCAGAACCCCACCAGATCCCTCTGCCATCTCCAGCTGTGACTTTGACCCCAAATTAAAGCCTCTTGACAGCTGCTCCTCCCAGCTCTTGCAAAGATCCTTCTCAAAGGAGTTTGCCAGCTCTGAGCAAAGGGCCCACCTGCTGCCTGTTGCTGAGGACGAGTGTCCAGGTTGTGAAGCCAGCCCCAGGCTCCTCTGAGATCAGCTGGACATGGAAGCGGCCATAGTCACCTTCGCCCTGGGTGGGCCAGAACTGCACGTATGTCTGGGGGAGGGCGAGAGGTGCATGCTCACACATGGCCCCCGCCTGCACGCAGGGCAGAGCTCAGCCCCTCACATGGGTGGGCTCACACCAGCCCCTCGCCCATAAGCCACACGCACGTGGCTCTGCCAGGCACTGCTGGGCATCAACCCAGTGCTGCAGCCAGAGAATAACATGAGCTGGGCTCATTTGCAGTGAGACCGAGGACAGCCCCCAGCTGTGGAGCTGTGGTGCTGGGCCTGTCCTCAGGGCTCTCCCAGGTGGAGCCCCACAAGCTTGCAGTAGGTCCTGGTGCAAGCAGGGCTCTCGTGGTAGGATCAGTGCAGGGCCAAAGGCAGCAATCACACTGCTCGGCTCCACAGGGAACCAGGAGAGGGGAGAGCTGCCAGAGCTTGGGCTGCTGACCTTGTCCAGCTCCTGGAGTTGATTCAGCACAACTACCGATGTGCAAGTGTAATCCCAGACCAGAGCCCAGAAATCCACCAGCGTGGTGGGGAAAGGCAGCTGCGTGATGATGATTCTCTCCTCCTCGGTGTACGTCTGCAAAAGACACCACGATGTGCGGGTGGGGGGAAGAGTCCCACAATCCCCGGGAGCCCTTCCCACAGCGGGAACGGCTCCCTGCCGTCCTGCTGAGATGGAGCAGACCCAGTCCAACCCAGCCCTGCTCAGAGCAGCTCCTGTTTCCCTCCCCCTGCCCTCTCAGCTCATCGCACCGGGGCTCGGCTCCCGGCAGGCTGTGGCTGGCACACGCTGCTGCGCTGCCTGCGCAGCCAGGGCTCCGCCGATCGCGATCGCGGGGGCCATCTCCTGGCAGCAGGGCCAGCAGGCACCGTGCAGGAGCCCGAGGGCTGGGACACCTCCCCCGGGCGGGCTGCTCTGCCCTGGCCTGGAGCTGGGCTGCGCAGGAGGCTCCCGGCTGCCCCGAGCAGCTCCCGCTCCCGCGGCGGCCGGAGCCTTACGCTGGCAAACACGGCGTTGATGTAAGCTGGCGAGCCGTCTGCGTTCACCGAGGACATCAGGATGGGCCGGCAGGAATCCGCTGCGGAGGCAAGGAGCAGAGAGGGGGAAATGATGGGTCGTCCTCTCCCTACAGAGAGGCGGGGGGCTTTCCCTGCAACAGGTACAGTCAGCACAGCTCCCTGCAGCATGGCTTGGAGAGGATTGAACGGACAGGAACCACCACACCCATGGCTGTGACAGCTCAGGGCACCCTGATGAGGGTTGCCCAAAACCCTGTGGTTGGGGGCACAGCAGATGCACCCTCCTCCATGCTCCCTGATGTGCTTCATCTGAGCTTCTCCACTGGAAAGCTTTAGACCAGGGACATGCTTATCCCAGGTGTACTTCATGTACCTCCAACAGGCTCAGAAGGAATCAGCCTAATCTGTATTTATTATGTAGTAACCATAAAACAACGCCTGGACCCTGAGCCCAACCTGCCAGTGTCAGGTGCCAGGGAGGGAAGCAGCAGGAAAGCATCATTCCCCCCATGCTGCCAGCAGGCTCTGGGTTTAGAGCAAGAGGCTGCCCAGCCCTGCCAGTGTTACCTGGCAAGATCCCTGGCTTGCGGTTCTTGGGTTGGTTTCTGGGTTTCTCTGCTTCTCTGCATGGCAGGAGCTGGAACAACTCTGAAAATCTCTGCAGGGCCTGTAGAGAGGATTCACCCAAGTCGGTCCAGCCTGTCAGCAGCTCACCCTCTGGGGCCACTGCAGAGAATGATCCCCCATCTCCATTCCACTGCTGGGGAGGGGAGCAGGGACGGGGCTGGCATCACAGATGAGCCCTCACAGCACGAGTGCACCGTCTCCTGGTGGTACCTTGAACTCCTTCTCTAGGACACTGTTGTGGCCTGAGGCCTCATCTTCTCGAAGGGAGCGGAGCAGGCTGGCCATGCTCTCCACGGGGACCCCGGTGCTGCCGCAGAGCAAGCCTTCGAGAAGCGCCTCGTACAGGAAGCTGTACTGCTCCTGTGGGAGGACACGGG